AAGAGAATCAAACAATTTTTGACCTTCGGTGACTGGCTTCTTTCACTTAGCATAATGCTTTCAATGCTCACCCATGTTGTGGTATGGATCAGTACTTTATTACTTTCTCTTGATGAATAATATTCCATTGTATGGATGTACCATATTTGTTTATCCATTCATCAGTTGATGGACATTTGGGTTATTTCTACCATTTGGCTATTATGACTGATGCTGCTATGAACATTTGTGTACAAGTTTTTTTTTTTTTTAAGTGTTTTATTTATTTATTCATGAGAGTCAGAGGGAGAGAGAGGCAAGCAGAGGGAGAGGAAGAAGCAGGCTCCCTGCCCGGCAGGGAGCCCGATGCGGGACTCCACCCCAGGCTCCTGGGATCATGACCTGAGCCGAAGGCAGATGCTTAACCATCTGAGCCACCCAGGCGCCCCTGTGTACAAGTTTTTGAGTGAGCACATCTTCAGTTCTTCTGGGTCGTATGCTAACTCCATATTTAACCATCTGAGGAATTGCCAAACTATTTCCTAAAGCAGATGTGCCATTTTACATTCCCACCAGCAATGTATGAGGGTTCCAGTTTTTCCATATCCTGGCTGACATTTGCTATTTTTTAAAATTACAGACATCCTGGTGGGTGTGAAGTAGTAATATAACCATCCCAATGAGTACAAAGTGGTATTTCAGTGTGCTTTTGATTTGCATTTCCCTAATGGCTGATGATATTGAATATCTTTTCATATGCTTACTGATCCTTTATTTGTATATCGTCTTTGGAGAAGTGTCTATTTAGATCATTTGCCCATTTTGGGGGTCTTTTTATTGTGGAGTTTTAAGAGTTCTGTTTATTTCTAGATACTAGACCCATATCACATCTGTGACTTGCAAATACTTTTTTCCCCATTCTGTGAGTTGTCTTTTTACTTTCTTGATGTTGTCATTTGCAGCACAGAAGTTTTAAACTTTGATAAAGTCCAATTTATCTACTTTTTTCTTTGGTTGCTTGTGCATTTGGTGTAATGTAAGAAACCCTCGCCTAATTTAAGTTCACAAAGATTTACACCTATGTTTCCACCCAAGATTTTAAGTTTCTGCACTTTCATTTAGGTTGTTGATTTATTTTGAGATAACTTTTGTATATGGTGTGAGGTAGGATTCTAACTTCATCACTTTTTTTTTTTTTTTTTGCATGTGGATATGCAGTTGTCCTAATACCATTTGTTGAAAAGATTATTCTTTCCTCACTGAGTGGACTTGGGATCCTTGTCAAAAGTTACTTGCCCATAAACATATGAGTATATCAGTTTGTTTCTGGACTCTCAGTCTTATTCTGGGCTTGAATCTTAGTTCTGCTACTTGCCAATAAATGTAATCTGGGACAAGTTACTTTTTTTTTGGTAATAATACTACCTACCTTTTAGAGGGTCGTTGTGAAAATTAAATGAGACACTGCACGTAAAGGGTATTATTTAGTGCCTGGCACATAGTACATACCAGATAAATTTTAAGGGGAAATGTGCTTAGATAATCAGGGAAGTAGTAAAAAGAGGAGATAGTTGAAAGGATGCTGAAATATTAGGAGTGTCCAGAACAAGGTGGCCTCATGAATGAGAGATGAGATGAAGAGATGTTTGAAAAAGTTGAAAAAAACATTCAGTTCCCCGATCTTGGCTACAGCAGTTGCTAGATGATGATGAAACAGAACAGAATAGAAACAGTATAGAAAAGTTACCATAAGCAACAGATTGGAACCATCTTATATTATTCTTTATAGATCTGAAATCAGTTAAGGTGGGTTATTTTAGAGCACTCGTGTTTGACTTTTTTCTGTCAAGGACTCTTTTGAGAACATTTTGAATGCTGCGGACAACCCTCTCCCCATGAGAATGTGTATATGACAAACACACAATGTTCTTCAGACAGTTCTAGGAGGTTCAGAAATCCCTGGTTAAAAGTCCTATCTTGACCTTATTTGAAGCAATGCTGACCCATAGCATACTTTCCCAAGCCTAATTTCATAGTGAGGTTCAAGTGTCCCACTTACTCCAGAACAATATTTACAGTTTCAGGGAAACTCGGAGAGCTTTTCCTCGTGTACGGAAGAATTTGTATGGCACCCTCCTAAGATTTAGAAGAATACCACAAATACTCTAATTGTTTTTCTATAGGTTTCAACACGTAGAGGTCTTTCAGCAATGCTCCTGACCAACTGTCATTTTGGAGGGGGGCCTTCCTCAGCTCTCCCAGGTAGCTCCCAACACGGACATTGAAGAGTGCAGACTTGCAGTCCTGGAAGAGATAGTAATAGAAATGCTGTGTGAGGTGGAGTTGGGCCTGGAAGAAAAAGATATGATTCTGGAAGGGACTCGGAATGAGAGGCAGCTTCAGAGAAACTCAGGGGGACACAGCGAGACAAAAATAGAAGCGGAAACATGCTGTTTAGAAACCCTCTTGCATATAGTCAAGATAAACTTCAGTGAAGGAGGTGAGATGATTGAAATAAAGGTGTAGGGGAGAGAGCACAGGCACCGACATCAGACCGACCCAGTGCCCTGGGTATGTATGTTCCTGGTTGATTTACTTAGCAGAGCTGAGCCCCAGTCTCCTAACTGTAATATGGGCATGGTAGTTCCTTCCTTACAGACTTCTTGACAGAATTTAATGAAGAAATGTGTGTAAAGGGCTTAACAGTACTCAGAATACAGGAGGTGCTCAATAAATGCTAGGTCCCTTCTTCTGACTTCTTCTACTTTATGGGATCCTTCATTTAACAATTACTGAATACCTATGTGTGTATGAGGCTCTGAACAAAACTATGAAATACTTGATGCCCTCAAGAAGCAGGGAGAGTTAGCTGGAGACACAGATATGTAAATGAAATAAAACAGAATGTTCTGGAAGCCACCAGTGGCTGTGGCGATAAACATGTAAATGAGCGAACTCCTAGGTTTGTAGGCTTGGATAGTGATATTCACCAGATAGGGAAAACTGGAAGAAGAGCAGGTGTTTGGGGTTTTTATGGTGGGGACCCGGGGGGGGGATGAATAACAAGGTCATTTATGGACATGTTGAATTTGAGCAGTGGGGCTATCAAAGGATATATTCCTGCCTGGAGCAAGAGTTGGAATCCATCATCTCTAACTAGAGTCTCCTCCAATTTTAAGAGTCTGTGATATATGCACATTGTAATTGTTTTACTTTTTCATCTCTAAAGGTGAATGCTGATAGATATTAGAAGCCACATGTGGCCAGCCAACAGTTTTGAGGCACTTGTAAATCGTAAACTAAGACTAACCACGTCTCACGTTTGAAAAAAAGTGGTCATACAAACATCTGAACTTACCCAACCGAGACTGGCTGTTTTACAAAAAAAGGACTCTACTTTTACAGCCCAGTTTCCTATAGATTTCCAATAAATAGCTAGTTAGTTTAGTGCACTTAAAGGTTTGATTCAGAAACAGCTTTTAGGGATGCATCTGTTGTACTTACTCAGTGGCAGAATCGAAATTTCAAGGCTTGGTGTGAGTGTCTCCAATGATAGTGAGCTGATGAACAAAAATTATTCAAAAGCCAAAGACGGTTTTCTCTTTTCTATAAATAGGATTAACATTTTCTGTCGATAAGACATATTTTTCCTCAGTTAGGGCTAGCTTAGATCATTTATCTGTGTTGATTTTATTTCTTTTTTTTTTTAAAGATTTTATTTATTTATTTGAGAGAGAGAATGAGATAGAGAGAGCATGAGAGGGGGGAGGGTCAGAGGGAGAAGCAGACTCCCCGCTGAGCAGGGAGCCGGACGTGGGACTCGATCCCAGGACTCCAGGATCATGACCTGAGCCGAAGGCGGTCGCCCAACCAACTGAGCCACCCAGGCGCCCTATCTGTGTTGATTTTAATTAACGGGAGACCCATGGCAGTATCTATTATGTTCAGCTCAGAAATGTCTGTGGGAGAATAGATTGGCCAAGAGATTAGTTTCATGTTAATTGGGTGACTTCTTTTATTCTCTGATGCACCTACCAAAACGAAAGTTACCAGGTCTGAAAATTTCTGGCCCCTCACCTTGCTAATTTGTATCTGGGTATTGGTTTGCATCTTGTTATGTTTTAGGAAGTATGAAAAGACACATGGGGAGGTGTGCTTCACAGTAGGCTTGTGCTAGTTCAGTGGGTGTGTAATAATAAAACCCAGCCAAAACCACAAGGTAATACATCTTCATTATTGATCAGAAACTACTGCTGAGTAAGTTGAAAAGTCATAGTCCCTCCTCATTGAGCTTGATGAGATGAAGAGCTTGCTGAGGGTGAGGGAAGGAAGTGAAAACTAGCACCATTTGTGTCTAGTAACTCAGCTTACTAGAAACAGGATAGAGCAGAAATTTCCATGAGTGGTAACAGGAAGTAATTAAGGTTCACACTCTGAAGAACTTATTATTCTACGCTGAGAAGTCCATTTTTCCAAAGCCCTCTCTTCTTTTTTTTTACTCAGGCTCTCAGAATGGAATCATTTCAAGAAGTAGAGAGTTAGTTTGAAATATGGCCTTATTTTCCTTCCACTGGATGTGGAATAGGCGCAGCCCCTATATTTTACCTTGAAGTAAAATACAGAACAACACTGGAGAATGGAGATGGAGAATTTCGCAGGGCCTCAGGCTCATCATAGTCCAGGACCAGAAATGTCAGTGGACAATATGTGAGGGACGGCTCCGTGCCGGTATTGTGAGCTAGAATAGTAATGTTAACCAGTAAACCAGGATTCAGCGGTGGCCACACGGTTCTGTTTATTAGTGCAGGAACATAAACTCAGGCATTTGTCGAAAACAAGGTTTGAAGCGGGGGAGGGTGGGGGAGAGAGGCTTTTTGATTAATTCCCAGATCGCTTTCCTATTGCTCCAGTGTTGCTGGGGAATGGAGCACGCAAGAGCCTCCGTTGGTTAGTGTGTAGCCAGTCTGCATCCAGGTTTCCTTTGGAGACGCTTAGTGACTCCCGCTTTGTATTCCTCGCAGGTGAAAGCCCAGCCTCTGTGGTTCTTAATGCCCCAGCAGGATTATTTTCACTAAAGATGGAAACACTGGAGTCCGAATTGACCTGTCCAATCTGCCTGGAGTTGTTCGAAGACCCCCTTCTGCTCCCTTGTGCCCACAGCCTCTGCTTCAGCTGTGCCCACCGCATCCTGGTCTCGAGCTGCAGCTCTGGCGAATCCATTGAACCCATCACCGCTTTCCAGTGTCCCACGTGCAGGTATGTTATCTCGCTGAACCACCGGGGCCTGGACGGCCTCAAGAGGAATGTGACTTTGCAGAACATTATCGATCGCTTCCAGAAGGCTTCAGTCAGTGGGCCCAATTCCCCAAGTGAGAGCCGCCGGGAGAGGACTTACAGGCCCAGCACGGCCATGTCTAGTGAGCGAATTGCTTGCCAGTTCTGTGAGCAGGACCCGCCACGGGATGCAGTGAAGACATGCATCACCTGTGAGGTCTCCTACTGTGACCGGTGCCTGCGGGCCACACACCCCAACAAGAAACCTTTCACCAGCCACCGCCTGGTGGAACCAGTGCCAGACACGCATCTTCGAGGGATCACCTGCCTGGACCACGAGAACGAGAAAGTGAACATGTATTGTGTGTCCGATGACCAATTGATCTGTGCCTTATGCAAACTGGTGGGACGTCACCGAGACCATCAGGTCGCGTCCCTGAATGACCGATTTGAGAAACTCAAGGTAAGGGATCTGGGAAATATCCCTTACACAGCGTGGTCTCTCTTAAACACGGCCGTACGGGTAGCGAGTTCCCTCACAAAGCTAGGTCCGCTTTTCCTATGTGGCATGGCCGGTAGCTCCCAAGTTGCTCTCGCGAGGAATAGCCTACCCACTCGCCAGCCCTCCCTGGAACCTGTGTCGTCGGTTGCACAAACATCTGCTTGCATTCCTTCACCTCTGGCCCGTTCTGGATGAGTTCAGGCCCCTGGCCCCACGCGCCACACCAGTAGCCCGTCCAGGGAAACAAGTCCCTCTGTCCTCTGTCAGTGGCAGATTGCACACTACCTATCTTTGTCGTGATCTTTCCACCTCTTCTTTTAAGTATGTGAGTACCTGTGTAGGTGTACTCTAATTAGCATAGGTGCTGATATGCATGCTGATATGCATGGGGAGAGCAAGGGGAAGGCTGGGCGTGTCTCCGTGGAGGTGTGGGGGGAGGTGTCTGAGTGTGTCTGGAGTAGGCGGGAGACCTGTGCGGAGGACGGTAGTGTCTGTGTTTGCTCGCTCCCTTCGCTAAAGAAACAAAGGCCTGGCGTTGGCTGCTTGCTACAAATCGCCCTCAAGCCCTTAACATGGGGCTAATTCTAAGCCCGCCTTAAACAAACAAACAAACAAACAAACAAACAAAAAAAGGAACTTCAGTTTACCGCGAAGTCAGAAGGGGTAATCCAATGTCTGAACTAGAACTTTAAACCGAAGCCAATCCATCTCGAATCCAGGATCCGATTTCGTGCCTGTGCTCGTTTTTGTGGGTTGCACACTGAAGACCGTGGTTGCAGGCCCTGCCTCGGAAGTTCCCAGTCTTCCATTTGTGTTCCGCGGACGGAGTTATCCGAGGTTGCCATGCCATATAATCTTTGTGCGCAAGGCTAAGTGCCCATTTTGTAAGACCGTCCTGCCTCACGTTGATGTTAACAAACGTCAGCTCCGGAAAATTGTTTTATTCCCGTTGTCTGCCCTCTCTGTGGCTTAACTGCTCTTAAGAAGGGAGCTATTTAGCAGAAATTCCAGGAAAATAAAATGTTTAAATGACTGACAAGATGACCACCCCCAGTAGGGACTGGCTATAGAAGCCGAGCTGGAAGGAAGACCCAGATAGGATGGAAGGAGGGCAAGCAGGAAGTGGGGATTTTCCTCTTGTCATGCCCTGAACAAGCCACGGTAACTTATCTGAAGATTTCATGGGGTTGGGGAAGGTAGCAATACTCCGAATAGGATATATTTTCCCCTCCCGTAATTTGTTGCAAGCTGACAATGGTTTGTGCCTTCTCTGATTTTTTATTTATATCTAATATTTACAAATTTGTACAAAGTTCAGTGTTTATCTGTGGATTTCACTCAAGGTGATATTCTCATTCACTTCAAAACTGCAGCGAGGAATGATCTGATTGACTTCAGTTCGTAGATGCCTAAGACGCTAAGCCTTGCACTTGGTCTAGCTGAAGCCTTACACTGTAATGTGGTATAAACTAAGACTTTGAGAGGTTAAGTGGTTTGGTCAAAGTCACAGAATTGGAACGGGAACTCAGCTTCTAGACCCCGCGTGAAGTATCCTTTCGGCTGTGGCCTGCCGCCGCTTTGTTTTGGACCTAAGTTTTGCCCGTGAAACGTGATTTGAAACTTAACTTTACACTCTGGCAATTGCACATTTCATGGGTCACAGATTAACGATTACCAGCATCAAGGAAAGGACATACTGTATAAACTTACAGCTTCATAATGGCAAGAGGTGGGGGTGGGGCTGCAGGAAGAGGGGGAATATGGAGAGGATGGAGCAATCTCTGCCAAATATTTGCAGGTGTTGGAACTATAATAAGGCATTGGCCTTGAGAAATACTCCAAACAGAAAACTCTGTATCCATATGTACGATTGAGATAACAAAAGACTGGATAGAATAAGGCTGTATCTGCAGAACACCAGCTTTTTGAAAACATCCGAAAACATGAAAACACTGGATGATTGATTAGATATTTGGCACCACACAACCACCGTCCTAGTCTCCAGGGTTGGATGGAGCACAAAAGTATTTCACCAAAAGATACTTTAGTCTGTAACTAATCGGTAATTTTTGCAGAAAGAAAGGCCAGATTTTTGAATTGTTCCCCTTTAAATTTTTTAGGAAATGTGCAGAAAATTCTGATTATAAATTAAGTGGAAACTTTTTTTTTTTTGCTCATTTTTGGACCGAGAGTGGAAACATATGAATCATTCCCAACCGTGTGGTTTGTTATGTTGTCTGGAACATCTTGGACTTTGGGGAGGGAGAGGTGCTGCGTGTGTGTGTGTGTGTATGTGTGTGTGTGTGTGTTGGATGTGTGGGGATCACTTTGGTTTGGTTTCCAAGTGTAAAGGCTATTAGTTCTCCACATGAAGCAGAGAGGAGGTCTGGCTTTGAGTGTCACATATTCTCACTTCTTTGGGTTAATTTTAATTTAAAAGCATTTAGAATTATCCCCTTAATCTGCTGGATTCTTCCCCAAGGAGAAAGGAGAAAACTGGTTGTCAGAAGTTATGGGGGAGATGGCCTGGAGCATACTCTTCTGGCCATGAGGGGAGCATGGGAGTCCTATAGGAGAAGGGGAAGGAGGATAGTACAGACATCTAGGGGTTTTATTTTCTGGCCAGTAAGTGAAATGGGGTTTATTTGTTCTTTTCGGTTCTGGAGCCTTACTTTTGGCCTTTATAACTACCCTTTCTGTACTAACCTCCCTGAGTAGGATTAGTGGTCTCTAGTATTTATTTGTTCAATAAAGAATAAACACACTGTTATGTTGTAAGACGGAAGGTCAGAATAACCAGAAGCCAGCTTGTCTTCTTAACATGTGCTCAATCCAGATTAGAGGGTTTGGGATACTTACTATGGTTTATTATCCTTATTTAGTTGTCCATTCTAAGTACATGCCCTTCCGAAGTCCACTAGTAGTTCAATTAATTCTTCAATTGCAAAGAACAATTTTGTTCACGGCAGTTATTACAGTAGAAAGGCCTATCACAGTCATTATTTCCTCCATCCCTTCTCTTTCCACTTAACCAGTCCCAATATATATTCTTAGCTCATGATATGTGCCGTATTTCTATAAAAATGCTTCACATGTTAAGAGTTTTCATTGGTCCGTGAGTTTCTCCCCTTGGAAAAGATCGATACTATTGCATTAATAAACGTTGGCTTTATAAAAAGAGGTCAAATTTCAGTGGCTCTGTATTGATGACAGATTGCAACTCGATGTTCTAAGTCCCGTATGACTTGGTTCGCATGCCGCCCTTCCGTCTTTCCCCCCTACCACTCTCAGACATGCCCAGGCTAGCCTCCTGACTGTCTGCTCAACACACCACTCCTCTCTGCTGCCTCCTAACTTTGACCCATGGTCTTTTCTTGACCGGCTTAGGAATCCTACCCGTTTTTTAGTCCCCAGCTAAAACCCCACAAGGCCCACTCCAAAACACCCCAACTATCCCATAAATTCTTTGAGGCCAGGCACAATGTCTTTTATTTCTTCAGTATCCTCCTTAGTGCCTTGCACAGATATTATATGCTCAAGACATCCAAGTGAATGGAACCTTTATAACGGATCTGCGGGAAGTACACCACCAGCATCTATAGCTTGCTTTATAAAGCTCTCATCTTGTAAGATATAAATCTGTCTTGCCATTGTGACTACTTTAGAGGTCTGAAAAAAAAGATCTTCTGTGGACTACTGATAATGTTAAAAACCAGAGTGTTAAGAGAAGTATGGCACGTCCTTAATTTTAAGTGCCTATTCATTTGGATCGCTGGATTTTCCAACTGCCTAACCCTATGGTGACATCTGTATAAATCAGATGCAATTATTATAATTCTCTTTGAGAGTGATGTCTTCACATTTCCATGCCCATAGCCTGCCAAAAATATAGCTGATGAAAACCAGGGGGAATAGAGGAATTTCCTGAAAGGAATAAACAAGCACATTTTCTTTTTCTCATTACATTTCCACAAATTCATTACTACAAATAATTCTTAAATGCAGTTACATTTACATATCAGGGATCTTGTTGTTATAAAATATTACCTGGCACTACAGTAAGCTTTTTGTTATGGGAAAGTAAAGCGTGCACGCACGCACACACACACACACTCACCCTGCCCCCCCACACACACACACAGAAAGAGAGGCTGAGACAGAGAGAGCTAAAGATTGCTAGACAAAGAGAAGGGAGATATGAGACTTGGAGAATGTTCAAAGGAAAGCCACAACGAGAGTTAAAAGGTTGGAAAATATGATATTCTAGAATCTTATCAGAGTTGATTACTTGCCCTTCTTCCTACTCAGTCACTCTGTCATCCACCCACCCATTCTCACTCAGCTACCACCTTCTCCCAGTCATTTGTCTGCTCACCCACTCGACACCCACTTCTGTCTGCCAAGACAGATACCCTCTCAACTTATCTACCACTGGGCATTTGACTGTTTTGGAACCAGCATGACTATTAATATAAGAGAAAGAAAGAAATATCTTCATGAAAGCCTGGGTTGAGAGGGAGTATATTTGCGTACATATGTATGTGTCGCCATATATGAGTGTGTGTATTTCTGCATGGCTGAGCAGCTGCGAATGATTCTGTTTGTTTGTCTATGTATATCTATAAATGTGTGTCACTGTGCGTGAGGAGGAGAGAGCGTCCATGTTCATCTTCTGTGGGCGTATCTGTAGAGAAGTTGGGTATGAGGATTCCACGCGCGTAAGGCCATGAGCGTGGTCCCCCTAAGAAGGGTCATGGCCTCAGTAGAACCTATCCTGAGACTAAGGATCTCCCTAATAAATGAGCCATGTCATAAATTCTCATGATAAGAAGAGGCTTCAGTGAGGCCAGGTTGGGTTACTGTAGGTGAGGGAGCAGAAAAAGTTGTTTCTCCATTTCACTCCCTTAGGTACTGAACCACAGTAGCAAAATATCATACAAGCAAAGTGTTTGGGTCCAGAT